ATTGAATACTTCTTAACACCAATAAAAACCCATATCTCGCTTTCAAGAGATTGGAGAGCTTTTTTTACTTCTATACTATACTAAAACATTAATATCACCAACAACATTTCTCTAACTAGAATTACTCAAAAGAATGCAAATATTTAGTTCTAAGATTCAAATAAAGTATCAAAAAAATCTAAAAATATACTTTTTTAAAGACTTTTAGGTAGATTACCACCAAAATATCATAAGGTCATCTAATATTCTATCTATGATTAATTGAGTGTGCCAAGAGAGCCATCTCAAGCACATATAGCTACCTAGTCAATCACTCTTACTAACAAGTCATCAATTGATCATTCAATTAAATCTCTTCTACCATTTTCAAACCTCTTGAGGCAATGTTCAACTCATATTCTTATTTAATTAGCAACAAAATTCAAGAGGCTAGTCTTGTGGGGTCTACTCAGAGTTAAAATTCAAATAATATTTAGAAGCATAACTAGTTAGATCAAGCTCTACTATTGCCACTATTTAATTTTAGACAACCAAATTGTCACTTTTTAAAAGTATTTTTGATTCAAACAACTCCCCAACAAATAGCTAAGTAGATACAATACCTTCTTTTTACACTTCCAAAAATCTACATAATTGAATGCTTAAGAAAAAATCAAATATGATATTTTTTCCTTTTTACATACATAGCATTTTCATCCACTATTTAGAACTAGTACAATAGAGATTAAGAAAAATTGAAAGATATTTTTATGTAATAAAAAAATAATAAACATATAAAAATTATTTTTAGCTAGTCCTTTCACTTAAAATCTTCTTGCTTAATATTGAAATAATACAAACTATTAAAATTTAAAGAATATGGCTCAAATGACCAAAGATTCTACTTTTTTATAGAAAAATATGTCATTCAAATTAAAAAAAAATTAAACAACTAAATATTTGTACCCATGCAACTTCTTAACAAGTATAAACTACCTTATGCAATAACTCCTAGTCTAATTTCAAATCCTACATAACTTGTTAACATCTAAGCTACCAACTACTAAAATTCAATATGCAGCAATCAATAATAGGCATAGCTATCTTTCTATAATTTTCTTCCTATCTATCTCAATATTCATTAAGTATCCAATGTATTAATAATTCATCAAAATTCATGTGTCATCTATCATAGTATCCTTATCTAGTCAAGTGTAATTGAAATTCATAATATTTAGCAAATACGTCTACCTCTAAGAGCATAAAATAACTTTAGATAAGCTTCATTTGAATCCACCTTCTTACAGAGCTCCTCCAAGCAAATCTAACATAACTTACAATATATTGATAAATTTAGTATTTATTAAGATACAACTAATTAAATTTTGGCTCTTTTTTATCTAACATGGTTTCAATTCTAATTGTTTTTTAGCTTGTAAGTCAATGTTCTTTTTTCTATTCAATATTTTTATTTTAGATTTGTATATTTTTTAATTTAGACTATGTATTATTATTTTTATTAAATATTATTCTAATTTAGCTAAATTACTAAATTAGAATAGCATCAAACATCTATTAAAACTCTAATTAGTTGTTGTAACAAGACCACTTTTAATGATACTCTTAGAGACCTTAACAACTACACTAGTTTTTCCAAAGCTAAATAAAAATATATATATTCTCAAGTCATAATCCAAGACAAAAATAACTTATCTATTAACCTTAATTAATTTAGTATTTTTAGATTATAAAAGCTCTTTAATTACAAAGTAGTTTTTTAACTCTACTAATTTTTTTTGAATAGTCCAAAAATATCTTAACAACTTCTGTGTCATTTTTTAAAGGAGCACACAATTTTTTTTAAAAAGAACTTAAAAACCATTGCATTTTACAACTAAATGTGAATAGAAAGTTTTTTTAGTTAAATGTGAAAATCATGATTGTTCTAAATAAGAACAATCTTACAAATTAGCTATGTATTTGTCAAGTACTTTAAGCCACTTTGAATTTTTTTTTTTTTTTTTATCATCTATTATTTATTTTTATTCTTGTAGATACAAAAAATGTTCATAAGATTAATGTTTTTAAAACGCTAAAGGTTATGAAACTTGTTAATAATCTATATTTTTTTTTTATTAGAGCAATTTTTGTTGGAACAAACAACAAGTGTATTATGCTTTTTGTTATCCTTTTTGTTTTGCTTTATACTTTCAAGTTGTTGGATAGCTAGCAAATTATTTTTTTTAAAATTAAAAATTAAAAAATTAATAATGTATTATAATTAATCATCATAAAATTGTAAGTTTTTGCCTAGCATTTCATTTCACTTGCATACAATAGAAAAGTCTAATTTCATCTATGTTATAGATATCTTATTGCTTAAATTTATCTAATGACTTATTTAAAAAAAAAATAGTAATAAATACTATAGTTATTAACATCTTCTTTTGAAATCTATAAAAAAAATAATTTTGTTATGAATCTTAAATTTCTCTAGCCATGTATTTAAAAAAAAAACTATTATACTAAAGATAAATCCAATTTAAAATAACAATAATAGTTTTTTAGTATAATATTGCTAATTTTTACTCATTTTTGGTTTGCATAAAATCATTCTATCAATATCTATTTTATATTACAATACTTGATTGCTCTTTATTTTTTAGTTTGTGGATTTTATTAGCAAGTAATTTCAAAAAAATTTAAAAAATGGACAATTTTTCTAAAAAAAATAGTTTGCATGATAATTAGATTATAAGTGTTATAAATCTAAGTGAAAAGATGACCTCAAATTAAAATAGGATTTTTTTTGGCATGCTTGTAGAATATAAAACAAACATTGTTGTTTATTTTCTTATTTTCTTCTTAAGAGAAATACTTCAAATTTGTATTTTTTCTAAGAACATGGTTTGGAATTACTAATATTAATAAATTAAACTCAATATGTATTAATGTATAACCTATTTAAATTCATAAATACCTCATGGTCCCAACTCTATGCAATTGGATAAGTTCTATTATCTATATATATATATATATATATATATAGAAAGAGAGAGAGAGAGAGAGAGAGAGAGATGTAGCATTAATTTATTTAATATTGGTTGTTATTTTTAAAAAAATACATATTTGATAAGTTGATCTTAAATCCAAGTAATTTTTTTTTTGGAATTTATAAATGGTTTAAATTTACTAAGAAACATTTTAAAATCTAATACTTTTTTTTAATGAAAAAAAAATTAAAGACCAATATATATTTTTGAATGTATCAAATGATATTTTCCTATTATTTATTTTTCAATATAAATAAAATATTTGTGCACTTATCAAAGTATTTCTTGCCATCTTTTTAATTTTTAGAGGAAGTATATCTATTTTTAGTTATAATCTAAATGTAATAAATAGCTTTAAAAAATTAAATCATTCATCTATTTTTTTACCTAAAGTATGGTGTTTTATATTATTTTTATACTTATACTGCTAAGAATATTAAAAAATAAATGATTTAACATTGTTATTAATAAGATACTTATAAGACTCAAGTAACTTTAATTTTTTAATTATTCAATTAGAAATTACTGTATTTTAATACAAATTAAGATCTAATATATACTTTTTATTAAACCTTTTCATACTATTCTAAAACAAACTCAAAACATGAATAATCATTTTTTTGTTAAAAAAATTCTTTTGAATAAAATTATTTAATTCAATTAAGTATCATGCTTTTTTAATTTTCAAAAAATAAAATAAAATAAAATAAAATAAACAAACACAATTAGGAAAAATTACATTTATTTTTTTTTTATAAAATTCAAAATTTGGTTAAAATTAAATACAAACAGGTTCGAATATTTCATAGTGGAATTCCATAGTGGAAAGGCAAATTCTACGAAGGAATGATACATTTTGAAAAGAGTAGATTCGGAAGGAAGAAATGCCTGATGGACCATCTATTGAGCTGTTAAGACCCAAGTTGGACGACGTCCTAGAGTCGAATGTTTGAAAGGTTCTACGACTGCTGAAGGGGGCGTGGGCCCATGCAACCGTAACGGCCGTGCTCGTCTCACATTGCTAGCATTGGGAAACTGGTGTGGATCGAAGGCCAAGCTGGGGACGTGCCGGAATGACCGACTTGACTACAAATCTTCCTCCTCCTCCAACTCCTGAGAAGATTGTTTCCACCACGTCGTTGCCCTGGTCTTTCTCGCCTCACCGCCCAGTGTGTGTGCCGTGGGTACCCTATCCGGCCCAGCTTCGGCGATCTCTTCCTCTCTAAAGGTTTACAATCATAAATTTGTGTGGATCTTTGTAACTACACTTGCTCTAGCACAAGATCGTTGGGCCCAGCACATCAGTGTCGGATTTCAGAGTAAGGCATATCTTCCATAAGATTTCCAAGCCTAGCTGTTCATTTCGATGAAAATTTAATACCTTTTGGAGAAGCAATGAATTAAACTGCTAAGTGACTCGTTAATGGCAAACGATGTGCTTGAAATAGTCCAGCCATTTCGGTGGATTCAAGGTTGAGCTTCCGAACTTAAAAAGTCGGTGTCTCAATCCAGAAGAGGAATGATTTGGTGAGGAACGTATTAGAAGAAAGAAGTTTTACAAGCCACGTCTTTATTATTAAAGATACATGTGCATGAAAGAAGAAACTCCGGATGGGTAAAGTTATGCATAAGCTGATCGTGTCGTCTCATGATTCTAAATATAACACTTCTTTGGGCACTATTCTCTGTGGTGCCGAAAGCTGTAAAATTTGTATTTCATATTTTTTGACTTCAAACTCTGCAGACAAGGAATCTTGCATACCATTATTGCCAAATGTGGAATCCTGTGGGGCGGCAGTGAGTGGCCTTGTCTTGGAATTCGAAGCCACTAACTGAAGGCTGAATTCGAGGTTGGCGTAACCGACCGTGCCCGGTCCTGACCAACGCAGTCTCCTGGCCCAGGACGAGGAAGCGGAATCCACAAGAGGACGACGCTATCAAGGAGCGCGACGCTGATGACCAAGACTTGGACCTAGCTGCACCGACTGGGGCCCTCTCCGCATCGCTGCCTCCTTTCCCTCTGGTGCCCTCTCGCTTTCTGCAATTTTCAAATATCTGGCGTTGGAATGTGTGTCTGTGTTTATTTACTTTTGGTGCTTGGAGTCACTTCTTTGCGTTGTCTGCTAAGGATACATGAAGGGGGTGGAAGGATGGAGGAAGGTGGACTGGTGAGTTAGCTCATGAGATGCCAGTGAGCGTTGACGCATTCCTGCCATGGTGGTGGATCAGGACGGGCAGGTCACTTCTGTGTGACTAGTTGACATGCGATGACGCTTACGGGCTTTGGGTGGGGGCACAGAGCGACAGAGCAGGGCCAAGAGGGGTCTGAAGATTGAGTGCGCTCGTGTGAGAGAGGTGAAGATCACCACAACAAGCGGTTGAAGGTTGCATTGACCTGCAGTGATGGAGTGGGCAACACTACTTCGACGCAAATTCTGCTGAACGTAGGACTGATGAGTAAAATGACATCGCTTCGTGACGAGGTGTTGAAGTACACGATTGAGGAAGACCTGGTAAGCGGAGCTTGTTGTGATAGCTCCTATTTCAGGCATTGCATGCACCGATAGGCGAGCTGGGGTGGGAGCGTGCATTGGGGTCGGATTGGTTGCGATGGAGGGCTTTGATGATTGTGGTAGTGGCGTGGTTAGATGGAAACTTGCGTCGAAAAAGTGACAGGTGTGTGGTAGTGATGGATATCTAAGAATGGTGTAATTGCGTTGTGAGCAGCAGCAGTTCAACACGTTGGCGATTAAGCGACTGAAGGACATCCAGTGTTCTAGGATTAGGGTAATATAAGTTCAGTTTTAGAGAGTGATGTATCTTTTATTATTTTTTTTGCTATTTTGCATTATTTTATTCTGTCGAGGAATGAACAACCTGAAGGGTTGAACCTCCTCGAGGGGGTGCGACTCTATGACACCTAACGCTAATTAGTTGTAACAATTCTATTCTAATATGTCTTGTTAATTGGAGTGTGGTATTGATGTAGGCCGGGTTCTCTTCCAAGAATGCCAATCCGCGGGAGTTGAGAGGCAAGCTTTGGCCCTGTTAGGGATTTCGTGAAGTTGTCAACCCGCATTTCGGAGGTAGGACAATATTCAAAACGAATTTTTTGTTGGATAGCTAACTGGCAAATAAAATGATCGGATGCGTGCAAATGCTGCGCTAGTTGAGCGATCCGATTGCATTATTATACGAAAAGTCTCGGGGTGCAAGTGCACCGGATGGAGTGGAGGAACAGTCGAAGGCCAAGAGTTTGATGTCGAGCGCGAGCGGAGTAGATACCAGTCGTGAATCCAGGAAGCCATACTCAATCAATTTTTCTTTTAAAAAAAGGCTTTAAGACACACGAAGCCACCCTTGCTGCACATCGCACATCATATAGAGGCTTGGAATATGGTAAACATTGCTGAGGTCGGACAGCAGAAAGCGGGAGTGAAGTTGGTTTTGACATCTTGAAGGAGCGAAAGATTGTTACTGGCAACATTGTATCATCCAAGCAAAGCGTGAGGCTGATAAAGGAGAAGCCGCAATTGAGATGGTATACATTTCGATCTGCGGCGGAGTTGATGAAGCCTAGAGTGGCCAAGTAAGAATCGATGACCTGCAACCACTCCCGAGGGGATTATTTCAGGTCATACAGAGTTTTATGAAGCCGACAAATAAGCCCAGTGTGAGGAGGAGTGACACCAGCTGAGACGTCCATATAAATCTCTTCGTGCATGATCTAGTTCAAAAAGGTTGTTTTAACGTCCATTTGTTGGACGTGAAAGTTCTGCTGAACCACGAGGGCAATTATCAGTCATATTGATTAGATGAAGACTACCGAAGAAAACGTTTCGTTGTAGTCAAGACCCAAAATCTAATTGACCTCCTAAGCCACAAGGCCGGCCTTGTATACATCTATGAGGCCACCTTTTTTTAATTTTATCTTAAATACCCACTTGCAAGTAATTGGGTGTTGATTTTTAGGAAGCTCAATGAAGATCTAAGTTCCATTGTAACTTGTAATTGGGTGAAGTTCTAAATTTGATTGATTGCATGCAAATTGAGCTCATCAATAATGGCAACCTTCTATTAAGTAGTTTCAAGCAACAATAGAATTTTCTTGTAAGTCGTAGGCTTGTGCGGAATTGGAGCTAAAAAATAATGAGCACGTTTCTTAGAAGGTGAAAGAGGAAGTTATCAAGAGAATAAAACATTGGAATTGTAGTTTTTATTGGAATCTTAATGAAGAAGAACATCCTTCATAAATCATCATAATGTTCAACATGGAGGTGGAGGCACCACATACGGAGATTACAAAGCATCAAATACTTCACCATATATAGATTCAATTGAAGGAGATCATAAAGTCGACAAGAATAATACCTAACATGGAGCATAACTTTGAGGCTAGATCGCACATCCACATATCGGTAGGAAAGTATAACAAGGTATAGATAAGATAATTATATAGATAATTAGAATGATGGAAGTTTCTAGAATTGGAGTTAGGAGACATGGCAAAGAAATCCCAGATGGAGGCTCAAATACAACACGTCTTAGATCAACTAGCTACTTTGTAAGGGCAAATAGAAGCCTCAAGGACAAGAGAGTTGACATCGACTAGGTTGAAATTGAGTAAGCCTAGTACATACTCTGGAACTGTAAGACAAGAAGATGTATGTCAATAGTTCTTCAACATGCGACAATACTTCCAACTATCTGAGGTAAATACCACTAAAGGAATTATATATGCAATCAGCTATTTGAAAGATGCGACAGCCATTTGGTGGCAACATCAAGTTCAAAGTTATGGAGCTTAAGGTAGATTTTGTGATTGGAAGGAGTTTGAAACCGAGTTAAAGAATCAATTTCAGCCATCATTGTTCAAAAGATAGCATGCGATTAGTTGAAAAATCTTACACAAGCTAGATTAATAGAAGATTATGTTTCGTGATTCAAGTCCCTATATCTCTAAATTGACAATATTTCGAATGCAGAGATGATGGATCAATTCCTACAAGGTTTGAAACCTAGAGTCTAGTAAGAGGTGGAGCTAAAGAATCCAGAAACATTTGAAGAGGCAATTTGGATTGTAAAGAAGGTCGATGCTATAGATTTTAGAAATCATGGAGTACGACCTATAGCATGAAGTCTTATGCCACTATCTAATATTATGGCATAACAATCAACACCAATGGAGATTGATGCCTTATAAGAATCATTGATACTACAAAGACAACAAATATCAGTGCCAAAAGAATTATGTTTCTATTGTCGAAAGCTAGGCCATCAGATCGGAGGTTGTTCAAAATGTCAAAGTGTAAGTACTAATAAGACAAGGCAAGTTCACAGTCTCAAAACTCACGAAGTTGATAATAAGCCAGAGCAAGAAAATGGGACTCTCTAATAAAGGCACCAAAAGCAAGTACTTGATGTATGTATTGTTTCTTAGAAAAAAAATGGTATAGCCTCAAATAGCTATAAATAGAATCAATTGGTGCATCTAATGGAACTACTAAGAGGACAATCATGTCGAGTGTTTGTAGATTGTGGCTCTACAAAAAATTGCATCTCAACTAAAATTATTGATTGGCTTGGAATTAAAATTAAAGAAATCAAGGAATGAAGTATATACCTTACAAATGACCAAGAGAATATATTGAGTGAGACATTTGAAGAAGAAACCTTGAGATTGACAGACACCTATGACTTAAGAAAGAAATTTAAGGTGACAAAGCTAAGGTATGATATTATCTTTGATATGCAATGGTTAGAGATAGAAAATAAAAAAGTTGATTAGGTAGCAAAGACATTCTCTTTTAAAGATAGAAAATGCAAGGTGACTCTTTACACCTCCACATTAAGTAAAGAGGAAAGACAACTTGCAACCAAAGACTTACTTATAAAAATGATCTTTATAAAGAAGCAACTATAGCATGGGCAACCGGTATATATAGTAGTTCCAAATCTTGCATTGTCATACTGTAAAAGCTTACAGAATGTAAAAATTACTTAAAACATATTATATCTTAATAATTTTAGATGTATTTTAGAATGGTTAATAGATTAATTCAAAGAGAGTGGATATAAAAAACTTTATTTTAATTTTTATCTATTTTGATTATAAAATTTTAAAAAATTATAGGACCTAAATGTTTAATATGAAGCCTTGAGAGAAGATTAGAGCCTAAAGAAGAAAATCTTAAATAGTAGGAGGCTTATTGGGAGGGATGAAAGCAAGGCATGGTTGGATGAAGGCAAAGAATGGAAAACTTCATTCCTATTAGTTGAAGGCCATGCCCAATGGGCTTCAAGGAGGCTGCCCGAGCCCTTATTAGGGATTAGGGTTTCTCTTTTGAAGTCATTTGAGCTTTAGAGGCTAGGATCAGCAAGTTTAGGATTTTGGGTATAATTTGGATGAAGAGTTTATGTGATTTCGAGTTTTAGTAAAGGAGATATAGTTGTTCAAAGTTAAGGTGTTAAATTTGTACCTACTGTCACTCTTTGAAGCATAACATATGCGTACAGAGAGCAATGAAAGATCGGCGAGTAGAATTGGAGAGAACACTTTCTTGGCTATACTTTACATATATTGTTTTATGAATTTCAAGTCTAGGTGAAGGAGTTATAGGGCATTGAAGACAGCACATGTAATTCAAAGGCAGTAAGTGAGTCATTTTATTGATAGTAATGTTTGGAGCTATATCTTGAGTTTCTAGACGAATTTTTGGCTCAAAATTTCCATTAGTGTGAGTTATTAAGTTAAAAAGCTATAGATAAAATTTTCATGGTATTTAAGTATTTATTTTATGAGATATGAAGAAATTAGCACGCAGGTGTATGTAAGATAGGGTTTAAAGCTACTATTAGGATTTTAGTGATATCTCAAGATCCGTAATGAATTTGTAGTTGAATTTTTTTGTGGTAGTTTTTGAAAGTATATCAGTACTTCATGTAAAATTTTAGATTGTTTAGGTAGTCCGATCATGAGATTTGAGCTATTGAAGTTTGGAAAACATTTCTCATGAAGATATATAAGGTTTTAAGATACTTTATCATATATTTGGGTGTTTTCTTGATACTTGGGCTTGTGTATTGATGTAATTGTCCTAAAAGGGAATTTTATATATATATATATATATATATAACTTGGTATTTTTATATCTTATATTTTATTGAGCATTTAGTGGCAGCCAGAAGCCTAGTGCTTTCTTGACGCAAACTCTCTCTACCCTAACAGCGTCAGTGGTGGAAAAGATAGTTGAAAGAATAGAATAGGCATAACAACTCATACGAGATTATCAAGATATCTTTCCAACCAACCTATCTAATGGCATACTTCCTGATCGAGGTACTTCTTTCAAATAGAACTATTCTTTAGAGCCAAACCAACAAGTCGACCAAGCATCAAAAGAACTTGAAGAGTTGGAAAATTACATCAATACACAAGCCCGAGTATCTATTGCTTAGCATCAAAAGAACTTGAAGAGTTGGGAAAGACATTGGATGAACTCTTGGAGAAAGGCCTCATTTGAAAAAGCACATCAGTATAGAGAGTACTTGTATTCTTTGCACCTAAAACAGATGGTGGACTTTACCTTTGTATTGACTATTAAGATCTCAATAAGCAGACTATTAAAAATGCATATCCACTTCCACACATGGATGATCTTCTTGATCAACTTTGAGGTGCCACTATCTTTAATAAATTGGATCTTTGGAGTTGTTATTGGCAAACACCTTTTGCAAAAGAAGATGTAGAAAAGATGCCATTTTATGCACGCTATAGACATTTCAAATGGTTGATTTTATTCTTTGGCTTTACCAATACTCCAACTTCTTTCATGAATCAAATTTAATAGATTTTTTTGAGATCTTTTGGACAAGTATGTAGTTGTCTTCATTGATAATATCCTCATATATATATATATTAAAATCCCTAAAGAGCATGAGCAACACCTACAAGAGATATTGTGCTGACTGTAAGATAGTTGCTTTTATTGCAAGCAATCAAAATGTGAGCCTTTGGAAGATGGAAGTCACCTTTTTGGGACATGTGGTTTCCTCTGAAGATATGCGTATGGAGCAAGATAAGATAAAAGTAGTAGAGGATTGGCCAACCCTCAAAGATGCTTTTGAAGTTTATTCATTTTTAGGCCTTATTCGATATTATTGACATTTTGTTTGGCGATTTGCTCACATTCCTGCCTCATTGATAAAATTATTGGAGAAGGGTGTCCTATTTGAATTGAAATTAGAGAAGCAAAATGTCTTTAATAAGTTGAAGGAGATACTCATTATTTCTCCAATATTACAACCGTATGATCCTAATCTTCTTTGTATGCTTGATATTGATGCTTTCGACTTTGCTATTGGAGAGGTCCTTGAACAAGACTTTAGTAGGGGCCTTCAACCTATGGTGTATGAATCATGCAAGCTTAGAAGGGTAGAACACAATTACTCTATATGTAATTGAGAGCAATTAGTGATTATATATGCTACAAAGGTGTGGTGATACAATCTATTGGAAAAGCCAATGGTTGTTTGGACTGACCATTGATCCTTATTACATGATTTGTATCTAGAAAACATAAAATTGTGGCATCATCATTGGGAAGAACAGTTGCAACTTTTTGATATCTAGCTTGAGTACAAATAAGGGTGACAATATACTATGCCACATAGTTTATCAGAGAGACCAAACTTGAAGGATGAATTGAGAGATAAGATAGAAGTTGCTACCATTAGTAGTATCATTTCAGATCTAACCAAAGAGACAGAATGAAAGGAAGCTATATAACAAGATATTTATTTCAAGATGCTTAGCAATCGACTAAAGATGAGCAAAATATAATATTAAGTTTATACTCTTAGAGATGGCTTGGTCTATTTTAATAAACAAATTTGTGTATCCGACAATGTTAAACTCCAGATGAGCATACTTCAAGAGAGACATAACATCCTAATATCTAGACATCTGAGATGAGAGAAGATCATAGAGAATACTATGGATGACACAAGTA